AATCAGCCTCCTAAATCCCTGCGTCCTAAAAGAAAAATGGAGCGATTAACGCTTCACTCTGAGTAGATTTAGAGAAGCTGTTTTTGGCTGCAGCTTCTGTCTGCTGTAGTGAATCTTTCAGAATGACACACACACACACACACACACACACACACACACACACACACACACACACACACACACACACACACACACACACACACACACACACACACACACACACACACACACACACACACAGATGTTTAGCACACACACCCTGGCACTCACACAGTACAGAAAAGCTTCAAGCTGCCTCCACGTTAACCTTTTTGTGTTTTTTGAACGTTGCTCTTGAACAACCTTTTATGTGTCTCAATGCGATTCTTTTGTGCCAGCCTCTCCTGCTCGAGTGCCCTCCTCATTCAGCAGCACTGAGACATTCACTGTGTGTGTGTCCGGTCCGGTCTGGTGTGTGTGTGTGTGCACTTGACAAGAGTGTTTTCTGTCATGGCATTCAGTTTCCCCATCTCTCTTCCTTCTGTCCTCCCTATTTCCTCTCTCCTCACCACTTCCCTCCCGCTTCTCCTCTCTCTTAAGGTTGAAGGTTTCAGTAGAGAAGCTCGGAGCTGTCACTGTGTGTTCTGCTGGTAAAAGCTTTTATAAACCTGTATGCCTTTTTTAACAGTGATAAAAGAAGGAACATTTATTTTGGGATTTTCTCCCTTTCATGTAACATCGCAAAACAATTGACATACATTGGATGGCAGCGATGCAAATCACCTGCTGTGTTATTTGGGACAGGATTGTTTTGCTATAATAACACAGTACTAAGCAAGCGCTTGATAAGGGGCAACGTGTAGGGAATAAACAAAGACATTAGCATTTGTTGTTATATTGGCTCACTCTGTATATCTGTTTTATAATGAAATGACTTGTTTGTTGCAGCATGTCTTTTAGTGAAAACGGCTTCTTGTATGAGCTCACTGATTATGAAAAAAAAACGCTTAACATCTGTTAAAAAATGTTTACAACCAACATTGCAACAAAACGTTTTCCGGGTGGCATCGAGGCCTAAAAGATAGCTTAAAGAAGAGAGATAGAGAGCGAAGGGAAGAGAGAAAGTGGGAGGAAGAGGAGGGGGAGGGTCTCTAGTTACCAGGTTGCCGTTTTGTCTTGAAAGAATGTAGGTGGGCTAAGGCCAGGGTTTACAAGAGAGAGTGTGTTGAAGACCCCTGCACACACACACACACACACACACACACACGACACACACACACACACACACACACACACACACACACACAGAGAGAGACACATAGAGAGACAGAGAGAGAGAGAGACAGAGAGAGAGACACAGAGAGAGAGAG